GATACAGGGATGGAGGGCCCATTGACATTTCGGTTTTGGTCTGGTTTCTGGGGAGAAGGAAAATAGGGAAAGCCGAGGAAAACTAGCTGCGGAAGTGCGTTGATTGCAGGCCTTCTGGGAGGAGAAAAAGAACTACTCCTCTTGCCATTTGCCTGACCTCAAAAACTTTGACCTTTTTTCGCTGCAGTTTATTCTTGGGTTTTGTTTCGTTTTTAATTGCACCACATGCGCCATGCAATATATAATTGGAATCAACTCCAGCGCACCACCACCCACCAGCACACTCGCCAAAAATAATGAATTAGTATAAAATAATTGTTATAAAAGCTCTTTTGTAGAGGTAACGGCTCTATAAGACCTATTCTTCCGAACTAGATAAATATTAATTTAAAAAGAATTAAGTATAATATTTTTGAGTTATTAACTAATCTATTTACAATTTCTTAACGTGCACATGAGCGAGCAGGCGCGCTCTCGTTTAATATGAAAGTCACAGACGGGCTAATTGAAAACACTTGCAAAATTTATGAGCCTAGCAACATGTTGCCAAGCCACTTGACTCCGAGAGAGAGAGACAAAACAAAATGATTTTATTATAATGGATTTATAACGCAGGCCAAGAGCAAACAGGCTATTAGACAGAGATACAAGACTACATATCCCCCATGGCGAGCGAGAGAGAGGGAAGGAGCAGAAGAAAGAGAGGGGGTTACAGGCGAAAGAGAGAGAGAGATGCACTTTTGGATTGAGACGCGAACGCGGCAGTCCATTAAGCGCAATGTTGTTGTCATCATTTAATGCTTTTGTTGTCCATTTGCCTTATGCGACTTGACAGCTCTCCTCACCGCTCCACTCTCTTTTCTTCCAGTGCACAGAAACCAAAACTTTTCGATTGAATGTGATTTTTAAAAATATAGAAAATTGGTTCATATTGGTGGTATTGTGTGCGTCTGTTACCTATACAACTTTTTGGAATTATATTAAAGATTCTTTGGCTTGTGCCAAAAATGTCATTCGTTCATTAAAAGCTCAATTAAAATCAATCATAAAATTATTTTCAAAAAAATTGGATTTCAAGAATAAAATTTGAAGAATTCACTAATCATTGATCTTCAAGGATGTAATTGGAGCTGAAAAATTGCAGAAAACTTATTTTTTTCAATTTAAAGTATCTTTTCCTTAGAGGGTTTGTGTAGGGCTGTATTTTCGAGAAAATATTCAAAAATTGTGTCTTAAAACCAATAATATCCTTGATATCCTTCATAAAGGTGAGAAATACAACTTAAATTTTGTAACAAATTATAATATTTGTTAAGGATTAAAAAATTAAAAATATAAATTAAAATGTTTAACACTTTCCGCATGCTTCCTCATTAAATAAGTTAATAAAAATCCTACACAAAATTGTTCTCCGTGCATGTGCGACTGAGTTGAATGAGAGCAATTTCAGGTTTGCGTGTGCGCATTTGCAGCGATGTTGCTGCCGTGTCTGGAGCATAAATGGGCCCCCACAGCGTCTCCTTAAGTGGAGATATTTATAATAAGTTTATTTGCTTGTACTTTTTGTTTTTCCTCTTGTTGCTGCAATGCAGCAACAGCAGCAGCAACATGCAACATGTTGCTGTTGTGGCGTCCATGTTGCCCAGCTAGTTTGCCGCCGTTGGATTTTCACATTCACAATCACATTCGCAGTTGTAAATTGACGTTTTGCGTTAACGACCGAAGCGTCTTGGTCGTCGGTTTAAATCCCATCAGCCAACGCGCGTGTTTCGTGAACTCTTCGCTCGAAGTAAGGCAATTTTGTGTGTTAGCCATCCGTAGGCATCATCGCCATCATCATCATCAGAGCAGCATCCGCACCCCATGCAACGCACAATTTGTTTTGATGCAGCCTGAACATGACTTCATCAGTGCAGAGAAAAACACAAAATCACTTTATAAACTGGATGTATTTAAATATTTCTAACAAATAATCATGAAAGTGCATTTTATATAAATGGTTAAAGATTAGAGAATATTATAAATATATTAGTAAATTTACTAAATAATTTTTAAAGAATGTTCTCATTAGCCAAGACAAAGTCCTAAATTCTTACGCAATTAAAAGCCGATGGTGAGTGGAGTGTCTTGATTTCTGTGAATCCCAAGTGGTCACCTATTTTGATTTTATTGAATTCGACTATTCTCGGGAAATCCTGCTTCAATGAATTGCATAATTGAAACAAACATTTTAATTGACGAATTTATAATTTATTTCAATTGAAATGTTAGCCCATTAAAATGCTTGAATAACATTTAAATGAACTCGACTTAATCACAAATTCTCAGGAAATCCCTCACATTCCAACAAAAGTTCTATAATTAAAACAAACCTTTTTTAATTGTCGAATTATTATTACCATCACTGGAATTGATATGTGAGCTCATTGCCATAAAACAAAATAGATTGTGAGTTCTCAGGAAATTATAATTTCCTAATAATTCTATTAAGTGGATCCCGTGCCGATTTTAATCAAAAGTTCCTTCCATTTGTTCTCTGTGTAGCCGTGTTTATTTGAAGTGACTTCCACGACTCCCCCTCTTTTTGCTCGTCGTGCCGCTATTCAAGTGTATCTAAATTGCTTCATCTTCGTCTTGTGCAGCGCAGCAAAGCAACATCAGCATCTTGTTGTTGATGTTATTTCTCGTTTCATATTTTCGCAGTTATTTTTAGTTCGCCGCCGCTGCCCTTTTCAATCCCTTTTTGCGAATCCCCAATTCAATTCAATTTGCAGCCCGTACAATTTAAATGAGCAATCAGGGCACTCATAGCCGGGCCATTGTTATTGTGGCGCAGAGCTTCACTTCCCTAATGATGCTGGCAGCTTAAGCTGTTGCTCCTGAAATGAATGTGCGGAGAGTTCATGGTCTGAACAACCGAAAACATTACTTGAATTACGGGAATGGGAATGGGAATTTCGCGTCGTTCGACCACAATTGAATCCGCATTAATCATTCGCGAATATATAGAACGCGCGCGATAGCCTAAAAATAAACGTATGGCAGGCAATCATGAGTAATTGGCCTTATCAAAAGCATAACATCGCCCATTAATAATCGCACCCTTATAGCTAATTGAGCTGTCGCCCCTCTTATAATGTATAATTATTAAAAAAAAGCAAAAAAAAAGAAAAAGGCACGCACACACTCTCGCATTGCTGACTAACAACACAAATTGAATTACGACATTCCTGTAAAGACAATGAATGGCTTTTGTGTGTGCGGTGACCCAAAGCGACGTTCTCAGGAAATGAAATTATACACCAATTATTGCCAGCAACAGCAAAAGCTCTTAAAGAAATTGGAAAGAGTAGCGAAGACGAAGACGGAACGACGACGAAACGAAACGATACCGAAATGTGAGCGGTGAATATGGCAGCGAAATCTCAATAATTAATCAAATAATAAATCTCGGTGAGCAATTAAGAGGAGAAAGACAAAGCCAGCGAACCGAAAGGCCGAAAGCAATAAAAAGCATTGAAAAGCCGTTGGCTCAGCATTAATTAGCGCTAAACGCCGTCGCAACAACAGCGATAACGACGGCAGCAACAGCAGAAATAGCAGCAACATCAGCACCAACGGCAGCAACATCAACTCCCCAGAGCAACAGCAACAGAAACAGAAACAGCAGCAGCATCCGCCGCCAACTTATTAAAGTATGTACATATAACTCAATTATGGAGAATTAAAAACAAACTCAAAGGCAGGCAACGTCGGCAATTTGCAATGCAGAAAGATATGCACTTGGAGAAATATAGGTACATTTAAGAAATATTCCAAGAAAATTTCCAATCTAATTGTATTGACAATTGTATCACAAATAATATTTATTGATAAAAAAAAGTGCAAAGAGCACGTTTAAATATTAAAAAAATTTACTTTTCAAAGAAATGCATAATCTTTCTCTGAAAAAATATACTATTACTTGCCTTGGTATTGTCATTTCTACCTTATTTCATATCAATAAAATTACGAAATAATGAATGTCAAATTTATGATTCAAACATGTCAACTTGATATTTTATCATTTCATAAAAGTTATAAAAATACTGCTTGAAAAAACAAAACTTTTTATTTTTGAACAATAAAATAAATAAATAATAAATAAAATAAGAAATTCATAATCTTTATTCATATCATCAAAATGATATGAATAACTTCCATCTATACAACATTTTAAATTAACCAGCACATGTTGTATAGATGGAAGTTATTCATATCATTTTGATGATATCTGAATCTGATATTTTTTTCTGAATTTCTTTTAAAATATCTTTTAATTCTAATAAAAATCTATTCAATCAGTTTGTTACTCCTCGAGTTACCTATTATTTCTCCAAGTGCACGGCAACGCTGCGCTGCGGCAGCAACAATCAAAGCAATAAAACACATTCAGCATTTAATAAAATAATCGAGCCAAAGACGACCGAGGCGGCAACATCCCGGCAGCAACATGTTGCCAGCACGCCAGCAACAGCACTGTCAGAAATTTATGAGCTCCGCACACACAAACACACATAAATAGCGCCGCTGAACAACGAGATACAATTAAGCCGTAATGCATATGAAAATTCGTGTTTTATTGCCGTGCGTTATGTTCACGTGCGCGGCAACTGTTTGTATCTGTATCTGTATATGTATCTCTATGTGTATATGTATCTGTTTCCGAATCCGTATCTTCACCTCGCTCGCTCTCTGAGCGCAGCGTAATTGTAATTATAGTAATATGTTTTATGATGGTTCCCTCGTTTAGCAACCCCCGCACACACAGAGGCGAAGCGTTTGGCCAAAATGTATCTAGATACATAATTGCCACATTCAGTCGTCGTTAAATAGTTGCACGGCGCAGTTCACACAAGCGGCACAAGCAACGTCACAGCAGCAACACCAGCAACATCAGCAGCAACATCAGCAGCAACAACAGCAGCAACATCAGCAACACCAGCAACAGTCGTTGCTGTTGTCGTCGTTTGTCGACAACGTCGTTTTCGTGCTTTATAGCGCTCGCACTCAGAAGTCGTTCAGAATCGCTGCCGTCGTGGTCCCGGTCGGTGTTTCGGTATCGGAATCGGATTGTCGACTCGACTTTTGTGTACTTTCCCATCCATTCTGGCCGTTTTGTGCGCTGCTTTCGAGCCGGAGCCAGAGAAGCGAAAAGTTGCCGGTAAATCGGGAAATCGTTTGACCCGCGGGGTCTAAAAGTCAAATTCAATTTACGCGCCACGTAATTATAATTAGGCATGAGGCCATACAAGAAATGGTACTGAATGGTAAACTGAACAATCGACCCCCTCAGAGAGTGTACTATTTTAATTAAGTGTGTGCTACAACAGCAACAACTATACCAACAACAACAACAACAACCATAACAACAACGAAAAGAAGTCACGCATGTGTATCTTTGTATCTGAGCTGTTTTGCTGTGTGAACTGAACGAATCGAATCGAAACGATACGAAACGAACGCGTGTATGTGTGCCGCTTTTGTGTCCATTAGTCACACATGAAACTAATTAGCATTTCGTCTGTTTGTTATTGTCGCGTTTGCTGGTCAAAAGAATTAGCGCGGCAAGAGCAACGTCAAGCGCCATTATGCGATATCTTAAATACACAAATATATCTACATATATGCATGATATATTTATATATCGCTCTGGGATGTGGGATAAGATTCTTTCTTTTATGATTTTCGCTCGCTGGCTGGCATTTCCCATTAATTTGTTTATTTTGTGCGACACAACGCTCCAAATTCCCACCGACGGCAATCGGTAATCAGCAATCAAGTTTATATGGCGACAACACGGTCAGCAATTTAAAGGCGGTAGTAGCGTAGTAGCCACCACAAAAACGGCATCTTTTTTGACGCTAATTGCTGGCCGGTGTATCTGCAAGATACTTTAACCGCTCACACCTCCGGTGTTGTTGTTTGCCAACATTTTGTATCTGTTTTTTCCCCGTCTTTATTATTGCTGGTTCGCACGCTCGGCGGGCAATTTGTCAACGCGAACAACGCTGACAGGTTACGCAGCCGCACTGCTGCCAATTGATTTCCAATTCATTTCATTTGGCACAAATAGATATATACGTATATATTCTCTCATAAATAAATTATGAAGCGTGTGCAAAAAAGGAAATTTTAATTTTCACAAAAATATTTCAATTACTCAATTAAATTCAGTTGGCAAAAAGGTGTTATAAATAAAGCATTCGCTCAATCGTAATTGAAGTCCACTTTATGGTCGGCCGTGTGTTCGTTGCCCATTAATTACGGCTCCCCGGCCATAAATGCTGTCGTTTGCCGTTGCCGTTGCCGTTGCCGCTCGTTCGCATTAATAATAAATAAGTAAAAGTAAATAAATAACTATATAATGGATATAAAGCGCTAAAGCTAAAGCTGCCATTTAAGTGCCGAAAAGTTCAAGTTATTGTGGTCGGAACGGTCAAAGAGCTTATAAAAATGATTAAATAAAGCAAAACAATTAAACAGAAAATGCCAAGCCAAGCAGTGAATACAAAGTCAGACAATGTGACCCCTTTATCCCTCACCCAAATTTCACCGACTAATTTGTTAGTGCCGTCGGTGTTTATGCGCCAAGAGGTTGTCACAGTATTTCCTGATTTTTAATTTGATTTCTGGGCATTTAAATATACAAAGTATGTGACAAACTCATGAAAATGAATGTATTTAAACAGACTTAAAAATATCACATGCACATTTTCTCGTTACAATTAATTGTCGGGGCTAATACAATTGTTAAGCGCATTTGCAAAATTAACAATTTCGCTACATTTTCAATATTTTAACGAGGCAAATGGCCAAATTGGATTTGAACACAAGACAAATGAAGCAAAAACAGGGTCGCGATTCGGCTTGCACATTGTTTCACAATAAATAAATGAATACGAATAAATTTAATTAAATTACAAAGGCAGTATGCGCAAAAGAGATGGCAGAGACAATGGGCTGCCAATTATGAAACCAGAACGCATTTCAAAATAATTAAAAATTAAATAAATGAACGACGTGCGGGCAATAACAAATTGTGCAGCTAAACTCAAAAACAGCCAGCCAAAATACATTAAAATTAATTCGCCAACGCAAAGGCAAAACAATAATCAATAATTGTCAATTGGCAGGCTAATGAATTAATTACATTTTCATCCCGTCCCCCTGGTGTTTGCTCCTTTTCTTTCATTTGTCAATTTTTTGTATCGTTTATTTTATGTTGTTTTTTTTGTTTTTGGTTTAAATGACACCGCCATTGGCAGTTGTGTTTTGTGTTTTTTTCTGTAGTCGCGGCAAAGGCAATTTAATTAGGGAAAGTGGATTAATTTGCAACTCGTTAGACTAATTAAGGATTATAATCAGCAGAGGAACCAGCGGGCCGTGTAAAACGTCAGCGAGTAAAAAGTGAGCTGGAAAAGGATAACAAAAAAGTGAAAACAAAAGGAAACCAAAAGAAATTAAACTGAATAGAAAAAAAAGAAGCGGCACCACCACCACCCACATAAGGTGACCTTTTAAAAGCAAAACTATAAATAGTTCAACCATAAAAACCGTTTACCTAACAACCCGACGAAGAGAGTAAAATCGTTTAATTGGATTTCCACCCACCTTGACTCTTTCGGATACAATCAACACAACCGCCCGAGTGGCCCCCCAAAAGGTGAGCAACGTTGTAAGCCGGCAATAAGCTATAATTTAAGTACACGTACTCGAAAATACTACACATTTTTCGGAATTCCCCGGAATTCGGGTCAAAGCCAAAGGTTCTGCGGCCAGATAAGCAGGTAATCAGATCTGTTTTTCACTCACAATCAATGCATACATTATTTACACGTGGAATACTATTCGAATATTTAGTAAATATTATTTACACCTATTCGAGGGTTAAAGTTCAACAGATTTGCTGCACTCCCATAGATTTCCGCTGACAATCAGCCATCAACCCTTAGCCCTAGAATTAATCACAATTACAAACTGCAAGCCTAACAAATTTGAAACATTTTCTAATGAAACAAACACTTGGTTAAAATCTATTTAATTTGAATCTCAAAAAATATTTTTTATTCAATGTAATGTAATTGAAACACGAAAAATAATTTAAAATTTAATTTTAATTTAATATCTTATCAATTCAGTATGATCTATGTATATTTAGGACGTCTAAAAATAAATATGTATAACTGACTTAAGGAAAATGTTTAAAATGTTTAATTTTTTTCCAATTCAAACGGCCTAATACATTTATTTTTTTCTTGTCAATCATTTGAACATTTTTGTGATATCACCATGCCAAGTCTAAAAATATTGGGGATCTGCTTATCAACAATGTCATAAAATACAACAAAATACACTTTTTACATCAGATAAGAACCATTTTTTTTTTTAATTGAGCCTTCTATAAAAATTCCAAGAGTTATTTGTTTGAATACATTTTATCGCCCTCTAATATTTCAGTGCAAATAGAAAGTCAAGCGTTCGATTCAAAATTAATTGACCATCGGAACACGATAAATTACTTAAAATCTTATCTTATCAACCCATTTGGCTCGGTATAAATCAACGATATCAAATTAGTTAAATTTCTCTGTAATCACGTTGTTGACATATAATTAATTTCAATTTCATGATGATGCCGCTGCTTTTTGCCAGCATTTGTAAATGTTGTTGATTTTGGTGTTTCCTGTACATTGATGACTACGGTGAAATGTGCTGAAAATTCGTATTTATTCTGTCCCATTCCCATTCCCAAGCCCCTGTCGCTGAAGTGAACGAACATATGGCCTGCCTCAGCACTCTGCCATTTATTACCAGTTTAGTAATCGCAATCGGGGAAACATTGCACTGTCAATTGCCGCAACTATACGGAATGTAAACAAATGATTGCGCACACATAATAATGCTAAGGAAACCCAATTATCAATGACTGCGCATTTATAAGTATAAACAAGCGAGTATCGCGGGATAGGGGCAGATAGGTAATCAATACTCCCTAAAATATCAAGCAATAATCTTTTTTAGGGAACCAAGATATATAATACATTTAATATAAGATATTCAGAAATATTTAAGATCATTTTGCGAATCGTTTATCGTTATGGGCTTCAAAATTGACTACTTTGTGCCGATCTGTGAGTGCCTCAATTACGGTTATGACTTCAGCTTACCGTACGAGCTGATTCATTTCGTAGATACGCCACATTTCTGTCTGTGTTTGTGTTAATTACCATACCGAGAGATAACAAAAACTAATATGAGTGCGAAACGAGCTTTCTCCTCCGCTCGAGTTCTGAATCTCTATCTGAATCTGATATCTCTGGGGATGACATGGGATGGGTTTCAGTTTCTGTTTCTGTTTCAGCAAATTCTAACAGTCATCGTCCGAATATGGCATTTAATTGAGTCATGTCACGAGTATTAGGCATAATTAAAAGGCAATTTCATTCAGAGCCACGCCACAGAATTATGTGTGTGAGAGCGCTATGATATCTAATATCTGTGGCACAACAGGTTCGCATTTCGTACTGAAATTAATTAAATTGTTACTCAAACCGTTTTCTGATTGACTGACAGACGGCCTGACACTTGACGCGATGAATGAATGGATTGCCATGGCATGAAATAGCCTGGAACTGGAACTGGTCAGTCTGGATCCGTATACATGTGTGTATATATGGTGGAAACTATGCGACTGCACAAACAGAACACGGGCTCAGCCATTTGGCATTTGAATGGCCCAGCGGCGATTACGCAAAAATGTAAATAGGAAAAATTATATGCAAAAACAGAAAAGCATTTGTAGCTCTCATTACAATCACACTCAGACTCGGGGCTGCCTGCATTTTTCACGCTAATAACGAGAATAAACAAATAATGAAAATAATGCAATGGCCATATTGAAAACAGAATGCATAAACAAATGGGTCTATAGCCCATTAATCGGCTCTTAGCATTTTTGATATGCTTAATCACCAATTCTTCAATACATGGAGAACATTATTGCTCAATAAAAAATTAATTCTATACAGAATTGAATATGTAATGCCAGCGACCTTCTATTTTATTTTATTTTATTTTATTATGAACTATCAGTTAACAAAAATATAGCCCGAAAAAGCAATTCAAGAAAACAAATATATTATTAAAAAATATTTTATAAATATTTGTTAAATATATTTGAAAAATTTGTTCATTATTTTTGCATTTTTTAAAATATATAAATTTTTGCAATCAAAAATGCCAAATATGTTATTCAGAAATCTTAGGCAGAGAAAAATTTGCCTTAAATTTAAAATCAATTTTTCTAATATATATTAAATGAAATATATATTTAAAAACTCCATATTATCTGCTGTTTACACCCAATCAAAAATATCTTAAACTAGAGTTTTGATTAATATTAATTAAACAGTCAAGGGCCTGATTCTTACAGCCAGCTCAGTTGTTTATTAATTACGAAACGAGCTTTCTTCCGCACAAGCTCAAAGAGTCGGCGAGCTCAAAAGAGTCCAGTGCCCGGGATCCGATCCCCGGTGTCTCAAAGTAGACTTACAAGTACCCAACAGACAGCTCCGGCAAATAAGCAGCCAACCAGCCCGCTTGACGATGGCAGACGGCGATTACAGCTGATGAGTCACGCAATTAAACGGCGCACATTAATATGAAATGCCAACGGTGGGGCTGGAGGAGCCGAAACCCCGCTTATGAGGAGGGAATCGGGAACAGCAGGACTGGGACCCGTTTTATTTCAGAGCTCGACATCATCATCCTCTCAATGTGGCACAAAAGTGCGACAAAAGTCAAGCCATTAGGAAGGTTCCTAATCAGCGATTCCGAGAAATCAATCCAGTCCACGTCCCTCGTCGCAAGTGACGGCAGTCGGGGCAGCTCGTCGTCATTCACTTAAGCGTTGGACAGTTGGAAAATAAAACTAATTAGCCCCGGGCTGTGCCTGTGCCTGTGCCAGTGCAGCTTGCAATTCAATCAATATCAATTGGCAAATTTGCATTTTGCATTCAGCTTTCGGAGCGGTAACAAGTCCATTTAAGTGCTCGCACAGCGGGGCAAATTGGACCGCAAGCGAGTTTTCGAAACGGCAGATATAGCTTATATGTATCTAATTAATAATTATGACCATTATGAGCCATTCGGTTGGTTTTTGGCTTTATCTGCGCAGACGGACAGAAAGACAACTACCGGCCAGACGGGTTCAGACGGCTTCCGCACTTTGCAGGCTGGCTGCCGCAAAAAAATGTAACTTTTAATTGAAAACTGAGTTGGGCCAGCAAAAACGCACATGCACGTATATGCAGATGTATGTAAATACCGCATATGCTCAATTGCTTTTGAAAAGCCGATAAAAAATAAAGAAATAAATAAATATAAATAAATTTGCACAGCCCATATATGTATTGGTATAACTTTGTTGTCGGGCCGAACTGGCCGACATCAAATCAAATTGAATGAGCGCGGTCCATTACTCTCCCAGTGATTTTGCCAAATGACTTCATTTCATATCAATTAAGTTTATTGTGCCGGTGTCTGCTGTCTCTGATGCCCATAAAAAAACGCATGCCGCTTTTGCAGATACACAGATACAGGCACAGATACAAATGCATGGGGAACGCCCCAGCGGGAATGTGAGAAGTTGGTTTTTGTGTTCTTGAAATCCTGTTCCTTTTTGCAGGCGGCGGTGTAGGGATAGATAATTTCTGAGCGTTAAATGAGGGTGGGTTTCTGAGTAGCATCAATATCAGGCCATTTATGCGCTGTGTGATTTCTGTGGCACTACGATTATAATATTTTTTTAACAAAAAAAATCACCAACTTATAATATTAAAAAATCCTATGATTTACACCAAAACCAAGAGACTTGTTCTCACATTTATTTTTAATTTTTCAGTAATTTTAAAATTCGTAGAAAAAATATGAATAATTGTTAATCAAAAAATTAAACTATATAACTATTATCGTAATGTCTACTCAACATTTTTCAAATAATAATAAGAATGAATGTGGGATTCAACAAAATTATAGAGAAAAGCCACGGTAAGACGATTAAAATATTTGATCACATTTATCAAGGAATTACATTAAATTACAAAGAAAACTATTGTTGTTTTTTACATTTTTAAACATTTTCTGTGAAATAAAATAATTTGTTCGTCAGATCGTGGCCTAAGCCATTTTTAAGTGTTGTTAAAATATAAAAATTCGTGTTGGTGGTATTGATAACACGAAAAATGCCTAATATACCTATAATATACGTAACCTTTAATGATTACGGTCCCTGAAAAGTATTGTTTAAATATTTATTCGGCGCCAAAGTGTGACCCAACTTTACAACGAAATTTACCCCACATTTATCTGCATTTTGTATGGTATTATCAAGAATATAATGCAGGGTCACATCATTTTTAAATTTGTTGGAAAAAGTGAAAAAAAGTGAAAATAGTTAATTTTAATCTAAAAAACAATAAAAAGGTGAGTGATAAAATGAATTTTGTCTTTTTATAACCTTTATTTCAGCGTTACAAAGGTTAGTATCACAGATATTTTCGCCATTAATAAATATACGCCTCCGGATGCTATCTTCAACACAAATTCTGCATTTCAGTGACACTTGAAATGTTTTTAATCTTTACCAGTGGTAAATGGTGTGAGGTGTTCATTAAATGGTTGTATAAATAGTACTTCAGTACTAACTTAGTTGTTTAACTTAATCAAAATATTTCATTTATTTCAGCCAGGCCGACTGAGACTTCTTGGGACCAGAAGTGTTGCGCCTGCGTTTGTCATATTTTATTTTTTTCTTCTCATAGTTTTTGATATAGATACCCGACATAAAACAACTGAACAGAGGGTAAATGATCGGCCATGGCAAACCAGGCATAATTTCTGGAGAGATCCTTTAATTTTGTGCGGAGACCTAATAATGGTAATTACTCTTATTATTATTCCTGGTCTTACATTCATATCTAAATTATGTTTGATATTTTCAGAAGACAGACAAGAAATGGATATCTAAGTACTGCATTCGGCCAAGCAAAACCCGGGAATGCTTCAGGCATTAAAAATTTGTAGTTCCAATGCTTCGATTGTAAATATTATTAATAAATACACAAACAAATATTACAAAAAACATGATTTTTATTGTGGAAAATCAGATACTGCAAAGAAGTGCAAAACCAAAACTGCGAGGGTCTGGAAAAACCAAAACTGGGAGGGTGTAGAAAAACAGATATTGCAAGTGGAGGAAAACCATAACTGGGTACGTGTGGAAAATCTATAATGCGGGAAGTCGAAAAACCAGTGGATTTTGTCCTGCATTCTTCTGCCAGAGATCCAGATAGAAACCTCATTTCCCCCTTACTTTTTGTGTCACCCCCGTGTATTTTGAAACCAGAGATGGAAGAAATGTAAGGGGTGAATGAGGTTTAGTCCCTTCCGCTTCTATGAAGAAACCTCTTGAAAATATGTTATTTTCCAGAGGAATTTTCCCGGTGGGGCAGATACTCAGATACTCGGATACATTGCCCTGCCCTGAAAACCGAACGAACCTGATTCATGCGCTTAATTGCTTTGGAGCGTGTGCCGCCTGCCGTCGCACACAAAAAGGTATGGAATCGAATTGTGCACACAAATGGGAGCAGCAAAACTTATGAGTTCGCCATTGTATCTGTATCTGTGTTTGCTCGATGTATCTTTGTATCTTTGTGTCCGTAGCCCGGCTGGCTTTCAATAAAAATGACAACAACAACTTTTGACAGTAGGTAGGAGCAAGCGAAACGCTCATAAAATATGCCCGGCCAAACTGGGCACGCCAATCTAGCAGCCAAGCAACCCTACAGATGGGATAACGAAAGGGAAATTGAATAAAAACAAGAAAAAAATATTCCACACACACGGGCATTAAATGAAATTCAAATGGAAAGATCAACATCGGATAGCAGGCAGGCTGCATACTTCACAATCCATGGATTAATATCCACGGTTGCCTTTTCCTTGCCCTCATAACGAGTTGAAGCTGGGAGATCTTTCAAATTCCCACAGTCCATCAGATTTTCGTATTAAAACGTTGAGGACCTTTATTACCTTATCATAACATTAAAATAAGTTGTGAGTATTTGGCAGAATGATATACCGATATTACTATTCTTAATTCTTAAGTACCCTCACTAATTATTCAAAACCAGTTCTTAAAACTAACACAACTTAAATAAAATAAAATTAAAATTCCAAGGCACAGATCTTCCCACGAGATGTACCAAATTGCTTTCGATCGACCTAATCGGTTAATTATAATATCATTCGATATCGATACTGCCATATTTCTGGTTATCTGCGACCAAGCCCAGCATTTCTCGTGCTCATTTTAACCCTAATTTCGGTGACCCACAAATGCAATTAAGTTTCGATAAAAATAGACATTTTATGTGATTTCCTACCATCAAACACACTCAATCAGTCGGTTAGTCAGTCAGTCAGTCAATCAGTCGGTCGCTTGGTGAGTGAACTGTTATGCCGGCAATCAATCTTAGATATTGTCGTTCTGTTGGACTGATGTTGATAAGGAACGACAACGCAATTAGATAGCCCGCTCCGCAGATAAGCGAATATGCGCCACGAGCGGCCCAGAAACTTTTATGGATCGCCGCCCAGAGCCGAACTCATAAAAAGACAAACTCAAACCCCCTTGGCTGCCTTGCTTTTTTCCAGAGAAATTTCATTTATGGCTCCGGTTAATTAGCTCGGCAAATAAACGACACTTGTGTGCTGTTCAACAGGCTCAACAGAAATCTAAAGCTTTTCAAAAATGCGCGCCAAACCGAAGCTTTCCAGCACTCTTTTGCCGATTTACAATACTTCTCGGCAAAAAGAAACAGCTGATAGTTTCAGCATTTGTTTGCGGCACGTTGTCGGGTGATTTTGTTTGGGGGAATTAAACAAAAATAATGTTGGAAAAAAGCGAAAACTTCGTTATTTTTTGTGTAGTCATAGCAACCGGTGTGTTTGTTGTTTAATTAACGTTTGAACATTCTCGTTTTGCAGCCTAAAAAGCTGACTGAAAATCACACGCATCTCAAGCAACCGGCAAAAAGTATCTTTGGAGTTCTGCAACTGAAGAGAATCTTGTTAAGATGTGAAATGTGAAAATAAATATCTCTAAAATTAGTAAGCAACCAACGAATCTGCAAAGCGTAATAAAATACATGAAAGCAAGACAGTCAAAAAGTTTAACCAATTATTCAATTAATAAACCAAAAAAAAAATATACAATCTATATTTAAATCTGATAACTACCAAAACAAAACCTGATATTCAAAAAATTTTTAAAAATTAATAAGATAAGATATATTAAATAACAGATAAACTCTGGTTTTGAAAATCTGAAGATCATCTGGATTACCACATCCTGCTAAATATATTGAATAATCCAAGAGAAAGGGAAGACTCGGAAAATAAATATATTTATCAACTGTACCTAGTAAGCCAGCATTAAAATTCAAAATCAGAACTATTGAATATATTTTGTGGAGTACAACGCAAAGAACAACAAAGTATATACAAAATATTAAATAATTTAGTAAAATAAAAAAGTTATAAAACCAACCATGAACTTCGAGATTGATACCCAGAGGATTTGCAAAGAGCTGGAGAGCACTGATCGGCGTCTTAAGACCAACGTTCTGGCGGAACTGCGTGATCAGTGCGAGAATGCATCCGACCAATATATGACCACTAACAAAACAGCCGAGATCTTCGATCAGCTGTACCTGCATCTATTGAAGGCCTACGATGATCGCTTCGAAAGTGTTCGCGATCATGCCGTTCAGGCGGTCAATGCTTTTCTGAACCGACTTCCGCCCATGGATTTCCATCTGATGAATGTCGTTTCCACTCTGGCGGAACGGATGGGCAAAGCCGAGACCGTGGAGCCCAGCGAGGAGATTCGCCTGCTCTACATTGGCCAGCTGAATCTGATGGTCTGCCAATATGCCAAGATGGGAAGTGTTGGCGTCTTCAGGGAGTGCTATCCGATGGTGGTAAAGATTCTGATCAAGTCCATCAAGGATGACTATCCGGTTGTTCAGCGCGAGGGATGCTCCACGTTGGTGAATCTCGCTCGTGTGGCTGAAACCGAGGAGCTGCGTCCCTTCACGGAATCCCTACTTGTGGCTCTCTACGGCATGTTGAATCACAAACATGCCCAGGCCAGGATCACAGCCATCGAGGCCATCGGCAGACTGAGTCTGCACATGGACGCCAGTGGTGAGGCGATGAGGAGGCTGTTGAATGAGGTCTCGCCCCTTCTGATGGACACAATGCCCCTGGTTCGCCGTGAAGTCGGTCAGATGGGCATTCTCATGCTAATGCAACTGATGGATCGCTACTCCTTCTTCGAGCGAATTCTACCCCTAGTTTTGTGCTGCCTAAAGGACGAATCTCCGGAGGTTCTGAGTCACATCCATCCCCAGTGGCTCGAGTGCGGCAAGCAATATTTCGATGAAAACGAAGCCGAGTTGTCGCAACAGGAGATCAGTGATCTGCCAGTTGAGAATTATCCAGCTAATGTCAAGCGTCCCACCATCGGATGTCGTGGTTTGGTGCAGCGTTCGCTGAGATTACTGCAACTTATAACCCGTGAAACGGGCGACTGGAAGGACAATGTTCGCCTCCACTCCCTGAAGCTCCTCTACCAGTTTGTTTTGCATGCCGAGGCCGCCATGACGGCCAAGTTCTTCGAGATCTATGGCGATTTGGCCCACGCCTGTGTCGATCCGGTGGCGGAAGTCAATGCGGAGGCGGCCAAGGTGGCCGATTTGATGGGTCGCCTGTTGATGTACGAAGCTTGGATTGATCACGGCTTCGATGGCCTGGAGCGCAATGCTCGAGAGTCCTATATGCGATGCTTCTACCACATGTTCACCGCCTCCCTGGGCGGCACCTACTCCCAGTTGCTGAAGTTGGCCAAACTCCTCCGGAGCACTGATTACTCGCACACCCTAAAACCGGGCTTCCAGTTGTACATACTCAAACTATTGGATACCATAGTGGACAAGTCGCTGAAGGTCAATGCCTCGCAGGAGGAACTGGAGGATCTCTACGAGTCGGTCTATGTGAGCGGCGTTAAGGTGATGTCCCTGTGCTACTCCCTCAACAGCAACGGCAATGAAGACGTCAATCTAGGAGAACTGCTCATCGAAAGAATTGTGGAGCTCGAGCAAAGTTCATTGGCCAAAATTCACGAACGTTGGTTCCATTTGGCCTTGAAGGATGTCGAGAATCTGGATGCTGCTTTGGAGGACAACGCTGAACCGGTGATGCTGCTCGATGGCTTGATAAACATGTGCCACCTTCGAGCCACTTATATGACAGATCTAATCTCCAAGGTGAAGCTGGTCTTTGAGCATTGCTGCGATAGTGCTCAAGTGAAGATCTTTGGGAGTCTTTCGGTGGCCACGCTATTCTGGTCGAAAACTATGGACGTAGAACGTGAGCGCAGCACTCAGATACTGAGTGAGTTCATATCGCAAATTGTGGAACCCTATCTGACCTGGAAGGCTGGATCGAATGCCGAGGCCATGAGATCCCTGGCCATGGCCACACTGTGTGCCTTGGCTCAGGGAGCCGAAGACGAGGCCGTGGAAGTTTTGCCCTCGCTGGCCAAACATATGCCCAGTTTACTCGAAGATCGTAATGTGACCACCCGTCATTATGCCATCAAGGCGGTGATTTACTTCCGGCAAATGTCTGTGGAGGACTTGAAGCCTTTAGCTTATGCCACCATGCAGCGCATGGATGATCCATCTGCGGGTATTCGTATCCTGGCCGCCTTGGCTGTGGGTAAATTGAAGCCCAAGTTCAGTGATTCCGAGAAGGAGGCGGAACACGAGAAGGAGGTCTGGGATGTTTTCGTCACACGTGCCATGGACCTGCTGTTGCTCTACCACGAGAGTCCTGAGAAGGACATCAAGGCAGCTGTGGAGGTTACCCTCAGGGTGCTGGCCCAATCTCATCCAGTTGCCTGGGAGGATCGCTACAAACGAGCCTCGGCCATGGCTCAGAACAAGGATCAGCTTAACGAACTCTACAAAAGGCTAACCCTCAAAGACGTACCAGATCCTGAGGCTTCAACTGCATCCTAGAATCGCACATACACTTTTCATTACATTTTTCCTTATCCATTTTCTTATTCAAAAGCGTTTACCTAAGCATTTTCAATTTAAAATTTTCATTGTCAATTAAATTCCAATTTTCGGATTAACAATTCAATTTCCCTTTGCCATTTCTAGTTTACATTCTGGCAATTGCCTCAATTGACTATTACTGTTCCACTTCCAAGTATTAAGAACTATTGTAAACAAAGCCCCAAACTATAAAGTAAAATTTGTGCAAACCAAAATCTCACAAATCTCTTGTTTATTTTGCCATGGCCAAAAATAATCCGTTTGATGATGAATTGGGTTGCAAATAGGGGAAGCAAAGCATCAAAAACTGCAATTAATATACAGCACGATATTGGGTTAAATACTTGATAAATATACGAGTTTATAAATAGACGGAAATGGGAGCAGAATGCATATAGATGGAAAAGGAACCAAAAAAAAAGGAAATTCAAAAATACAGCAAATTGTTTTATGTTGGGGCTGTAGTAATTACAAATTCCTTCGGGACGGTTACCAGTCAATTAGCTGCGCAAATACATTTTTCCAGACCTCTCAATCAACCACCAACATTTGCAACAATTAAGAGCTGAGCACACATAAACTTGCGGTTCCCTGCCAGTTTTTTTTTTGTTAAGCGAAATTACCATTTCAATAATCCGCCGGATTAACGAATCCTGCAAAGTGTTGCATAACTTTCAGGGCAACCCATTAAACTGCATTCGTTGCCGCATCGCGATGGGTTGATGGGTTATTCAATCAGCAGCAGCATGCCGACCCAATTTCCCGAGCAACGGAAAAACTAATTTGCGCCGCTATGTAGCCGAAAAGTTTGCTCACTATATTAAAACAATTTGTCAAATTAGGCAAAATGTACAAGTTTCTAATTAAAATACCCACACGCGCGCACACGAGTTTCTGGCTTCGTTACAGGGATGAGAGCACACAAACACAGTGGGCCCTCGAATGTGGGAAGTTTCCGTTTTAAGAAGTGTAAAATTAAGATGTTAAATAAAGAAGATTTCGATTTTCACAATATGTAAACAGAAAATATCTAATATAGCTAATGTGGCGGTTTCAACACTTAAGATCTTAAACTATCTATTATAGTAAATGAATTTATAGAAAACTAAATTATAATATATGAGCCAAAAAATTATATATTAAAGTATACAGTTTAAACCAATATTAATAAATATTATAAATTATAAAAACCATTTTAGAGGATCCACTGTAGATCCAGTCGCATATCGACAAAGTTCAGATGGCGCCATTTCAAATGACTGTCTCCATCTCTTTCTGTGAACTTAATTGCTGGCAAATGAGCGTCGGGAGCTTTTTTCGCATGCGAGTTTGCATGGTTACTGATGGAAATGAGGGAATGATATAAAATACATACATAAGTGTGTCTATGTGTTTGGGGCAAACACATCCAAAATGACTAACTGCAAATAAATGTAAGCAGCCGCCTGGGTATCCTTGGCTGATTTGTTGCTGCCACTGCCGTCGCAGTTCACTTAATTAATTTTATTTAACATTTTCGCCGGGGCTAATTATTACATATTTTGGCAATTAGAGCTTCTCTTCATCGCTGGCGCTGATCTTTATGGCAGGATATATTAAATTAAAATAAATGCCAGGTCCCAAAGAGTTGCGGGTGGTGTTGGCTAGCTCTCCGCATTGTTATGGCCAAGCACATTTAACTAATTATGCCGAACTCCGGGCTTCAAAGACAGTCAACTGTGGACTTTGCAAACGAAGCGGACTCGCAGAGGGCGGCGGCCACCCACAGACGTCAGTTGTCAGTTTAATTAATCCCTTTCAGTGGCAGACAGAGCCCGAACTGCAGCTGCACGGAGAAAAATTGGGAAGAAGAGGGCTAAAAGAGTTTAAAAATAAATTAAATTTTTAGACATTCCTGATAAAGTAAGGTAACAGAGTATCTTAGAAAAAAATGTAACTGATTTGTATTATTTTATTTAAACTAAGAAATACTCTTAGCAAGTTGTTTAAAATCTATGGTAAAATCAAAAAATGTATTCAATTATTTAGAGTTAAGAACTCTAATATTTTGGATTGGAAATTTGTAAATAAATTTACTTACATTGGAATAATAAACTAAATATTTTTCCTGAAAATTGTTTAGACATTTATTAGTAATTTTTATGTAATTTTAATGCACAAGTATATATAAATTGATATGATACCATGCTGTTATTATTGGGCCCCACCTAGTAAACTTTCTCGCAGTGTACCGCGGATGGCACACGGCAAATAAACAGTTATAAATAGCAGGCATGAGCAGACCAGCGGACCTGGCCAAGGACCACCGACAACTTCATCCTCATCGCCGCCGCTTGTGGCGCACAAATTAAATGCTACATTCAATGCCATTTCGAAATCATTTCGAGTGCCCCGGCCCAGTGGGCTTTTGGGTGGATTCTGCGGGTGGGGATGGGTGTTATATTCGGGTTGCTTGGGCTGTCTGAAGGACGCACAAAGTTGCCAGCTCTCGACTTCTGCCGCAATTGAATTTCACTGGGGCAAAAAAATAAGTTAAGCCGCATGCCTTCTGCCCTCCTCGGCTTTTCCCTCCCTCTCTTTCTCTCGGTGAGCTTGCAATTTGAAAATTACTTTCATTACGTTTAAAAGTTCATTAAAATTTCACATCCCTGAAATGTCCATTTTCGTTTGCCATTTTCCATTCGGCAGTTGACGTACATACTTTTGACTGGCCCAAAAAAGTAAATTACAAATTACAATCTGACCTATTTGAGCGGAATATATAGATGGCCATGATTCTTTGACCCCATCAATGTTTTCGTTAATTGAGATACTTTTCGCATCTGCTTGCAGGCTGCATAATGCAGGCAAATTAAATGAGTTAACGTAACAATTAATCCACTGGCATGGCAACTGGGATTGTGTAACAAAAACCTGGGAAATGGTAAAAGCAAATGTGATGCAGTGAAAAAAAAAGAAATTATTTATTATTACTTTTTACTTTATTACTTTTATTAAATCGGATTTTAAAAGGAATTAATTCGAATTTCGACATTAAATGTAACGTAGAAAAATATTTAAAAAATTAAAAAAAAAGAGTCACTTTACACTAAATGGTTAGAAAACCATTCAATCTCAAGATCGCATTTTCTAATATTCACTTGCTGGCTTTCTGAATATTCAATGAGCTGCAGAGGTCACCAAATTTATTTCAGTGTACCACCTAATAAAACATCCCCGAACAAATGGGCAGTGATGAGCGATGAACGATAATTAAATACCGCCTCATGCTCGAGTTACCATCATTATCCTGCCGAAACTTTGAGTGGCGCTCTTAGCAATTAGGGTGCTGCTGTTGGCTACCACTAATAAAAATGGGCGGGGTTGCTGGGGGCGTGGGCATCCTTGTCATCGCGTTTGCCTTGGCTTTGCTCGAACTCGTGGCGAAGTTCTCTTCGAGCGGAGTTCGCTTCATTTGCTCCAGCTTCGCTTATTTCCACTTAAATGCTTAATTATAATTGAGTTTTATGTACAGCAAGTAGAGAGTAAAGTAAAACTGTCTCTCAGAGAAGGCAGCAGCAGCAGCGGCTTCCTGGGAGCGTACTTGAAATTAAATACAAATAATCTTTTGACTCCTTGTTGCCCCGCCTGGTGGAGTACGAAGGCGAGGGTGTCCTCTGCTCCCATTTGGCGTTGTTTTAATTACGTCTTAATGCCAACGCTTAAATGGACGACTGTGCGCCCTTCTGTTTCGGACGGACGAAAAGAAGGTTCAATGCCTTCCGAGCTGTGCGTATCAATTCAGCGTTAATTGCTCGCCAGTTCCCCAGTTCCAGTCCTCCGTCCTTTCCAGTCCCCCGGAACTCCCTTCGATTCGGCGAACAAAATCGGATAAACTGGAATGGTGCGAAAGCCATTTCGGCAAGGTTTTTATTGATTTTTGTGCTAAAGCAGACTTCTCAGGGAACATTGGAACCAAAGGGTTAATTTGGTAAATTAATGCAAACCTTTCGCTTCAAAAATGATATTTTTACAAAATATAAAAATAATATCAATAGCGGAAATATTTTTTTTAATATTTATTATTATTATTAAATCCTACAATCAATAAATGTTTCTAAAGAATTCTGGTATATTAAAAAGGTGGTATATTTTTAAAAGTTCATCATAATATTTTTGGTTCTTATTCCTAAAAATCTTCTTTTGGATGGAAGAATTATAAATAACAATCCTTTGCAATAAAAAAGCAATTAAATAATATTGGCACCCTAAACCACTGTGTTCGATTGTGCTTAATTATGAGAATCTTGCCAGACAATGAAGGAAAGTCTGAATTGGATTTGGAATGGCTGACGATGGCACCATCATCGGAAACTGCTCATCAAGACGCGTAGCTGGCAGCCAGACGAGCGTCGAGTACCATCGGGCCACTCACTCGAGAGCCCCGACTTCGACTTGGCCATGTATCATTATTATGATGATGCCTGTGAGTGTTTATTTTTGGTAGTCGGGAGACGGGAGATGGGATCTGGGCGCAGGGAACCGGGAACTGGGAGCACAGTAGGCAGCGCCAGCAGTTTTTGTTAATGTTCGCATTAATGTTGTCATACTGCGCCGGCTCTCATTTACTGGGAAATGTCGAGAAATGTGCGAGGGGATCCGGCGACTGATGGCAACGTTGCTGGCATTAATTAAGCATGTTTGACTGTGAATGTCAACAGCAGAAATTGCCGTTCTGTGCATGTGTTTGTCTCTCTTGGTGCACACTAGAAAAAATTGAGGAACATGTCCTGTCGGAGATCGAAATAAATATAAATATAACTTTTTTAAACTAAAGAAATCTCTTAGGACATTTTAAACACTTTTTTATAATTTTTCAATTTGAATCCAAAATTGTAAAATCGATTACGTTTAAATTTAAAAATCTAAAAGTTACTACCTTCGCCCTAATTATTGTGATATTAGTGATCCTTGATCCAAAATTTAAAAACCACCATTATCAGGGGTTTCATTAAAATCCCTTTAATAAAAATTTACCCGAAAAAGCAAATCTCGGTGTCACAGAAACCGTTTAGAAATTAAGTCCACGATTTTAAACTAACCAAATAGTAGGCTTTGAAACAAATGTTCATAAAATCAGACCAAATACAGATACTGTGACACCTTTGGTTTTTATGAGTTGGTTTGCAAACCAACCGTCTCCAAATCCGTCGGCGGTTTCTGTGACACCCCTGTATGTATTTTTCCAAGTGTAAATGTGCGAGTGCGTTGACAGGCGGACGACTGACAGGCTTTTGCACGGGGCGTGACAACTGCGCTCCCCCTTCACTATCAGCTTTCTCCAGTGTCGCTTGCGCTACGTAATTAAGTGACGCAAGTCAATTTATTTTGCAATTAATCATTAATTTATGCGTACGGAAGTATAATTGACTCATATTTCAGCCGGCAGGGACGAGATCGCTCCGCGAAGAAAAGCCAAATATTGGGTGACAGAAGAGTTATCATATTTCTGCTGGCAGTGGCCAGGAATAATGGGATTTTGCACCCACCGGCCAATCTCA